GCAAAGGTTGCGCAGGGTGTGCGGGGTGTGACGGTTGCGAGGGGTGTGAGGAGGGCCATGCATTGACGGAAGGCGTGGGGATTTCTAGGCTGGTCAAAATCGGTTGAGAAGGCGTTTGGGGGGCTGAACGTGCCGATGTGGCTTGGTGGGTGGGTTGACCACAGGAGGCTCGGACGGCAGGAGAACGGGCGGTGGCAGAAGGGGCAGCAGGTGTAGGGGTGGCACGAGAAGGGGCAGGGGGAGAAGGGGCGGCACGAGAAGGGGCGGCGGGCGAAGGGGCGGCAGGAGAAGGGGCGGCGGGCCTAGGGGCGGCACGAGAAGGGGCGGCGCGAGAGCGTGCAGGAAAAGTGAAAGGTGCGGACACACGAGTGATAGGCACTAGAACGGTGCGTGGGGGGATGTTGGATGGGACCGATGAGGGGCGGGCAGTTGTCACGATAGTCAGAGGCCGAGAGGAGGGGAAAGAAGCCGGAAAACGGGGGAGAGTGAGGGGTGACGCCGTAGTTTCTATGACAGTTATGGCTCCTGTAGCAGCTGCAGCTCCAGTAACGGCTGTAGCAGTTGTAGCTCCTGTAACAGCTGTAGCTCCTGTAACAGCTGTAGCTCCTGTAACAGCTGTAGCTCCTGTAACAGCTGTAGCTCCTGTAACAGCTGTAGCTCCTGTAACAGCTGTACCTCCTGTAACAGCTGTAGCTCCTGTAACAGCTGTAGCTCCTGTAACAGCTGTACCTCCTGTAACAGCTGTAGCTCCTGTAACAGCTGTAGCTCCTGTAACAGCTGTAGCTCCTGTAGCAACTGTAGCTCCTGCACCGGTTGTGGCAATTGAAGTTCCTGTAGTTCCTGCAGCAGCTGTAGCTCCTGTAACAGTTATAGCACCTGTGGCAGCTGCAGCTCCTGCATCGGCTGCAGCAGTTGAAGTTCCTGAGAACGTTGGAGCTCTAGCAGTTGTACCTCCTGTAGCTCCGGTTGCAACTCTAGCTGCTGTTGAAGTTGTAGCTGCTGTAACAGCCGAAGCTCCTGTGGCAGCAGCAGCAACTGCAGCAGCATTTGTAGAAGCTGCGATTCCTGTTCTGGTTCCTGTAGCGGCTGCTGCACCCGTAACAGTTGTGCCTGCTGTTGCAGCTGTAGCTCCTGTAGCAGCAGCACGTGTAGAAGCTGCGGTTCCTGTTCTGGTTCCTGTAGCGGCTGCTGCACCTGTAACAGTTGTAGCTCCTGTTGCAGCAACAGCAGCAGCAGCACTTGTAGAAGCTGCGATTCCTGTTCTGGTTCCCGTAGCGGCTGCTGCACCCGTAACAGCTGCGCCTGCTGTTGCAGCTCTAGATCCTGTAGCAGCAGCACGTGTAGGAGCTGCGGTTCCTGTTCTGGTTCCTGTCGCGGCTGCCATAACAGTTGTACCTGCTGCTCCTGTAGCAGCATCAGCAACTGCAGCACGTGTAGGAGCTGCCGTTCCTGTTCTGGTTCCTGTCGCGGCTGCCGCAACAGTTGTACCTGCTGCTCCTGTAGCAGCAGCAGCAACTGCAGCACGTGTAGGAGCTGCCGTTCCTGTTCTGGTTCCTGTTGCGGCTGCCGCAACAGTTGTACCTGCTGCTCCTGTAGCAGCAGCAGCAACTGCAGCACGTGTAGGAGCTGCCGTTCCTGTTCTGGTTCCTGTCACGGCTGCCGCAACAGTTGTACCTGCTGCTCCTGTAGCAGCAGCAGCAGCAACTGCAGCACGTGTAGGAGCTGCCGTTCCTGTTCTGGTTCCTGTCGCGGCTGCTGCACCCGTTACAGTTGTGCCTGCTGTAGCTGCTACGGCTCCTGTAGTGGCTGCAGATCCTGTAGCAGCAGCAGCACTTATAGAAGCCGCAGATCCTGTTCTAATTCCTGTAGCGGCTGCTGCACCTGAAACCGCTGTAGCAGCTGTAGCTGCTACCGCTCCGTCAACGGCTGTAGCGCCTGTAGAGGCCGCAGCTGCTCCAGTGTGGCCCTGCAAGGCCTTGCTGATTAGGTCATGCACGCGAATCAGATCCTCCTTCCCCATTGCCCCCAGATTTACAGCCTTTGTAACCATACCAACGATGTCTCCTCCACCCCCTCCTCCTCCACTTCCTCCACCCTCTCCTCTTTCCCCTCCTCCTCCTCCCCCTCCATCACCCCCTCCTCCTCCCTCTGCTGCTTGATTCATCCTCCTTACTTCAAACCAATGGTTTTGAGGCACCTAAAGAAATCGACTCTTTAATATAGCCCAAAGAGCTCGTGATACTAATCTAGTATTGGTGTTCCTGAGAGCCTTGAAGTCTGTGTGCGCTATTGGCTGTGCACGTTACTAGCTGTGTGCGTCACTGGCCGTCTGCGTTAATGTCTGTGTGCGTTACTAATTGTGCGCATTGCTAACTGTGCGCGTTACTGTCTGTGCGCAGTACTGTCGGTGTGTCTTGCAAACTGTGCGTGTTACTGGCTGTGTGCGTTACAGGTGTCATTTTCAGTAGCGAGAAATAAGACGAATATCCAGGGACCTAAAAAAGGACGGACGTACCCCGAATTAGTGCCAGGTTCAGCCGGTCGTAAATCAAGAAAGTCGGTCCGTGAATGTCTCCGACAGAAATTACCGCAAGCGTTATTAAAGAACTAAAAGGCCTGAAATTCGTTTAATAAGGACGCATTCCCTGAAGATACCGCTAGCGTTCAGTAAGGACGCATTGTCTACAATTATCGAAAGCGTTCAGTTAGGACATATTGCCTGAAAATGCCGTAAGTAACGCCTGAAAGTAATGTAAGCGTTCAGTAAAGACGTATTGCCTGGAATTGAGCAACGGGCTAGGGTTTCGTAGCTCAAATGGTTACACCTTTCGCAAACATCTCGTTTGTGCCTCAATGTCCTCTGGCCTGCGCTCTACGTTCTGCGACAAGCGCTCTACGTTTTGCGACAAGCGCTCTACGTTCTGCGACAAGCGCTCTACTTTCTGCGACAAGCGCCTTACGTCCTGCGACAAGCGCTCCAGTTCTGCGACAAGTGCTCTAGGTTCTGCGACAAGAGCTCCACGTGTGCGAGACGACCTACGCTCTATGTCCGTGGTGTCAGAGTATGCTAAACCGAAAATGTATATTCCGAGACATCCATATTTCAAGACACCTTGAATAAGGAGCTAACAGGGAAATGGAGTGCAATACCGCAGCGTCAGTTTCCCCGTGAGGTGGTGTGTGGTGGAGTGAAGTGAATGTCTGGTTTTCCAGAAACAAGCTGGAAACAGTGGCCAGGGAGAGGTGCAAAAACAGGTTTTCCAGGCCGGAAGGTTGATTCGGCGAGTGCCTGCCATTGGACCGCGAACCTGGACGTTGCCAGAAAATTGAGTGCGAGAGTGCGCGAATTGGATTCATTTCGCCGGCGTTACTCGAAATCGGCAAGGTCACCCTGGCAAGACAGAGTTGCACCCACCCATCGCAATCGCTAACGGAAATCGCCATCAAGGTGCGGGACATCCTCCCCACACGGTGGGAAACGAGTTTTGAGGTTTACCGTTTTGCACCGCTGGGAAATGAGCTAGCACCCATGGAACATACAGAACACGTACAATTACAATGGTAACATGCGCCGAACCGAGTATAAACGAGCGTCTTCAACTGTTCCCCGTGGCCCACTAAATTTCTGTGCATTCCTAAATTCCTGAGGCTGGTAGTTTAGTGACGCTTTAGAGGTGTCTGCACGCGACGCGAGCAGTCTAGATTCGGAGGCTGACGTCTTGTAAGTGCATTTAGAGTGCTTCCCCGCATCGTCGCATTGCCTGAAGAAAATTAAAATCCTTGAAAGGCTAGCGTTTCTTACACAGTAGTGGCCACTCTTCGCTGTCCTTTTATGGACGCGCGAATTCTGGTGAAGCGGATTCAAGATTTACGATAAAAGTGGTAGACGGTTACAACCACGCTCAACTTAGTCGAGTAATCTTCGTGTACTAGCAGACCAGCTTGTCCTTTCGTTTGCGGGCATATCTAGATCATTCTTGTTTTGTTCTTATTCCAAGCGCAATCCGTCGTTCGAGATTACTGGCCTTCGGCGAGGCTATTAGTAGGGCCCAGTTCTCCTCCTCGTGTTTAAGGTGCATATATCAGCCCACGGCGAGGATAGTAGAAGGGTAGTCTTATCATCGTGCTGCGCTGATGCCGCTGGTGCATGGCGTGGGTGACGAGGTGCTGTACGCGTTAATCGCGGTCTTCAGTATCCCGCTCTGGCTGCTGCGTTACTCTCCACACTTAAGGTTTGTCCTTTCTATATGTTTACCCCGGCTCTGCCGGTCCCGTGAAGAGGCTGCTCTCAATATTTGTTAAATAAATCAATATATATATATATATATATATTCTTTTTTTCTTTGGAACGGTCTCATCAGAGTTTGACGAGTTCAAATGGCGCGTCTACCCCCTTTTTTTATAACCAGTTTCAACGAAGATTCTTTTTTCAGTACGGTGTATCTCCAACCCGTCTTCTGAGACTTTCCTCGTGGTAACAGCGGCAGAATCCTTCACCTTTCCTTATTCGCCCTACTCCCAACTCTTTTTATTTCCCTCGGCTCTCCACCGACCCTCCTTCCCCCCTCCTCCCCACTTTTCCTCCCGTCAGGGTGTCACTCGTCTCCCTGTTCCGCGCCACGCCACCCCACTCCACTAGAAGCATCAGCAGCAGCCAGAACCTTGGTGGAACTGCGATCCCTTCTGGTACTGCTGCTGCTGCCATAGCTACTGCTGGTGCTACTGGTTCGGGAGGAGTTGGTCCGGCGAGTGGATTTGGTTCGGCAAGTGGAATTGGTCTGGCAAGAGGATTTGGTTCGGCAAGTGGAGTTGTTCCGGAAGAAGGCATTGGAGCAGCAGAAGCAGCAGCAGACACAGCAGCAGCAAGAGCAGCAACAACAGCAAGAGCAGGAGAAGCAGCAGCGGCAAGAGCAGCAACAACAGCAAGAGCAGAAGAAGCAGGAGGAGCAGGAGCAGGAGAAATGGCAGGGGGGTCGGAGCCAAGGCCACCAGAGGGCGAGATGTGCTGCGTGTGCCACGATGCCTTCGCCCTGCCCACCCAGGCCAACTGCGGCCACTGGTTCTGTGGTGAGTCAACTCTGGTCAACGCTGGTCAACAATGAGGGCAGCGATGGTCCTAGGGGCTTTAAATAGCCTCGTTCCGTCTCCCCATGTATCATGCGTTACCACCATCGGGCGGGGTGCATTGGATTTTAAGGGTGGCTTTTGAGAATTCTCTTTTGAGAAATTTCGAAGGTGACTCAGATTTTGAGAATCCTCAAAAGTGTATCATGCTTTACCACCAGCGCGGTGCATTGCATTCTAAGGGTGCCACGTCACAACTTAGCCCACGTCCCCTGCAAGTGCCCCGCCTCCCTCATATCAACCCATTTGCCTCACATCGACCCATCTCCATCCCATGTGTGTACCATACACATCACCAACAGCAAAGTGCATACTGAGGGTGTGGCATCACAGCTCCGCGCTCGTCCCCTGCAAGTGCCCCATCTGCCGTCGCACCATCACCCTCCTCCTCCCCTCCCACTCCGTCCAAACATCGCCACCCACCCACCCAGCCTCACACCCTTTGCCCTCCTCCGAACCTGAACCATCCGCACCATCGTTGGATGACCAGCTAAGGGAATCATCTAGGCTGCCTCCCTCTGGTCCATCCAAGCCCTCCCTCGCTGAACCGTCCAGACCCTCTTTGGAGAAGCAAGCAGAATCGCAAAGAGCAATTCCGTCTCAACCTGCGGAAAACCAGCAGAGAGAGTCACTTAGGCCCTCTCCCTCCAGTTCTGAGCAGCAGCAGGAGCCGCAGCAAGAGGAGGGGTACCGGCAGCAGCAGCAGCAGCAGCAGCAGCAGCAGCAGCAGCAGCAGCAGCAGCAGCAGCAGCAGCAGCAGCAGCAGCAGCAGCAGCAGCAGCAGCAGCAGCAGCGGCAGCAGCAGCAGCAGCAGCAGCAGCAGCAGCCAGAATCAGCAGCAGCAGCAGCAGCAGCAGCAGCAGCCAGAATCAGCAGCAGCAGCAGCAGCAGCAGCAGCCAGAATCAGCAGCAGCAGCAGCAGCAGCAGCAGCAGCCAGAATCAGCAGCAGCAGCAGCAGCAGCAGCAGCCAGAATCAGCAGCAGCAGCAGCAGCAGCAGCAGCAGCCAGAATCAGCAGCAGCAGCAGCAGCAGCAGCAGCCAGAATCAGCAGCAGCAGCAGCAGCAGCAGCAGCCAGAATCAGCAGCAGCAGCAGCAGCAGCAGCAGCCAGAATCAGCAGCAGCAGCAGCAGCAGCAGCAGCCAGAATCAGCAGCAGCAGCAGCAGCAGCAGCAGCCAGAATCAGCAGCAGCAGCAGCAGCAGCAGCAGCCAGAATCAGCAGCAGCAGCAGCAGCAGCAGCAGCCAGAATCAGCAGCAGCAGCAGCAGCAGCAGCAGCCAGAATCAGCAGCAGCAGCAGCAGCAGCAGCAGCCAGAATCAGCAGCAGCAGCAGCAGCAGCAGCAGCCAGAATCAGCAGCAGCAGCAGCAGCAGCAGCAGCCAGAATCAGCAGCAGCAGCAGCAGCAGCAGCAGCCAGAATCAGCAGCAGCAGCAGCAGCAGCAGCAGCCAGAATCAGCAGCAGCAGCAGCAGCAGCAGCAGCCAGAATCAGCAGCAGCAGCAGCAGCAGCAGCAGCCAGAATCAGCAGCAGCAGCAGCAGCAGCAGCAGCCAGAATCAGCAGCAGCAGCAGCAGCAGCAGCAGCCAGAATCAGCAGCAGCAGCAGCAGCAGCAGCAGCCAGAATCAGCAGCAGCAGCAGCAGCAGCAGCAGCCAGAATCAGCAGCAGCAGCAGCAGCAGCAGCAGCCAGAATCAGCAGCAGCAGCAGCAGCAGCAGCAGCCAGAATCAGCAGCAGCAGCAGCAGCAGCAGCAGCCAGAATCAGCAGCAGCAGCAGCAGCAGCAGCAGCCAGAATCAGCAGCAGCAGCAGCAGCAGCAGCAGCCAGAATCAGCAGCAGCAGCAGCAGCAGCAGCAGCCAGAATCAGCAGCAGCAGCAGCAGCAGCAGCAGCCAGAATCAGCAGCAGCAGCAGCAGCAGCAGCAGCCAGAATCAGCAGCAGCAGCAGCAGCAGCAGCAGCCAGAATCAGCAGCAGCAGCAGCAGCAGCAGCAGCCAGAATCAGCAGCAGCAGCAGCAGCAGCAGCAGCCAGAATCAGCAGCAGCAGCAGCAGCAGCAGCAGCCAGAATCAGCAGCAGCAGCAGCAGCAGCAGCAGCCAGAATCAGCAGCAGCAGCAGCAGCAGCAGCAGCCAGAATCAGCAGCAGCAGCAGCAGCAGCAGCAGCCAGAATCAGCAGCAGCAGCAGCAGCAGCAGCAGCCAGAATCAGCAGCAGCAGCAGCAGCAGCAGCAGCCAGAATCAGCAGCAGCAGCAGCAGCAGCAGCAGCCAGAATCAGCAGCAGCAGCAGCAGCAGCAGCAGCCAGAATCAGCAGCAGCAGCAGCAGCAGCAGCAGCCAGAATCAGCAGCAGCAGCAGCAGCAGCAGCAGCAGCCAGAATCAGCAGCAGCAGCAGCAGCAGCAGCAGCAGCAGCCAGAATCAGCAGCAGCAGCAGCAGCAGCAGCAGCCAGAATCAGCAGCAGCAGCAGCAGCAGCAGCAGCCAGAATCAGCAGCAGCAGCAGCAGCAGCAGCAGCCAGAATCAGCAGCAGCAGCAGCAGCAGCAGCAGCCAGAATCAGCAGCAGCAGCAGCAGCAGCAGCAGCCAGAATCAGCAGCAGCAGCAGCAGCAGCAGCAGCCAGAATCAGCAGCAGCAGCAGCAGCAGCAGCAGCCAGAATCAGCAGCAGCAGCAGCAGCAGCAGCAGCCAGAATCAGCAGCAGCAGCAGCAGCAGCAGCAGCCAGAATCAGCAGCAGCAGCAGCAGCAGCAGCAGCCAGAATCAGCAGCAGCAGCAGCAGCAGCAGCAGCAGCCAGAATCAGCAGCAGCAGCAGCAGCAGCAGCAGCCAGAATCAGCAGCAGCAGCAGCAGCAGCAGCAGCCAGAATCAGCAGCAGCAGCAGCAGCAGCAGCAGCCAGAATCAGCAGCAGCAGCAGCAGCAGCAGCAGCCAGAATCAGCAGCAGCAGCAGCAGCAGCAGCAGCCAGAATCAGCAGCAGCAGCAGCAGCAGCAGCAGCCAGAATCAGCAGCAGCAGCAGCAGCAGCAGCAGCCAGAATCAGCAGCAGCAGCAGCAGCAGCAGCAGCCAGAATCAGCAGCAGCAGCAGCAGCAGCAGCAGCCAGAATCAGCAGCAGCAGCAGCAGCAGCAGCAGCCAGAATCAGCAGCAGCAGCAGCAGCAGCAGCAGCCAGAATCAGCAGCAGCAGCAGCAGCAGCAGCAGCCAGAATCAGCAGCAGCAGCAGCAGCAGCAGCCAGAATCAGCAGCAGCAGCAGCAGCAGCAGCAGCAGCAGCCAGAATCAGCAGCAGCAGCAGCAGCAGCAGCAGCAGCAGCAGCCAGAATCAGCAGCAGCAGCAGCAGCAGCAGCAGCCAGAATCAGCAGCAGCAGCAGCAGCAGCAGCAGCCAGAATCAGCAGCAGCAGCAGCAGCAGCAGCAGCCAGAATCAGCAGCAGCAGCAGCAGCAGCAGCAGCAGCCAGAATCAGCAGCAGCAGCAGCAGCAGCAGCAGCCAGAATCAGCAGCAGCAGCAGCAGCAGCAGCAGCAGCCAGAATCAGCAGCAGCAGCAGCAGCAGCAGCAGCCAGAATCAGCAGCAGCAGCAGCAGCAGCAGCAGCAGCCAGAATCAGCAGCAGCAGCAGCAGCAGCAGCCAGAATCAGCAGCAGCAGCAGCAGCAGCAGCAGCAGCCAGAATCAGCAGCAGCAGCAGCAGCAGCAGCCAGAATCAGCAGCAGCAGCAGCAGCAGCAGCCAGAATCAGCAGCAGCAGCAGCAGCAGCAGCAGCAGCCAGAATCAGCAGCAGCAGCAGCAGCAGCAGCCAGAATCAGCAGCAGCAGCAGCAGCAGCAGCAGCAGCCAGAATCAGCAGCAGCAGCGGCAGCAGCAGCCAGAATCAGCAGCAGCAGCAGCAGCAGCAGCAGCAGCCAGAATCAGCAGCAGCAGCGGCAGCAGCAGCCAGAATCAGCAGCAGCAGCGGCAGCAGCAGCCAGAATCAGCAGCAGCAGCAGCAGCAGCAGCAGCAGCCAGAATCAGCAGCAGCAGCGGCAGCAGCAGCCAGAATCAGCAGCAGCAGCGGCAGCAGCAGCCAGAATCAGCAGCAGGGGAAGCAAGGAATTCGCACACGCCCGCCACTGTTGCTCCTCAGCCGTCAGAGCCGTCAGAGCCGTCACATTCAGACCGTCTTTCTGACAGCCCTCTGCCTCTTTCCTCGGAGCACGCTGTGGAGCTGCTGAGGGAAGTGGCTCGCTACAACCGGCTTTTCGGAGGGGTGCCCGTGTCGCTCTGGCAGGTAAACAGCGTTACACTGTGTTATTGCACGTGTGTGTGTGGCAAGGTTGAGTCAGTCTAGGTGAGTCCGTATCTGCCCACTGCTCGCCTCTCTCTCTCCGGCGCATGCAGTGGAGCTGCTGAGGGAGGTGGCGCGCTACAACCGGCTCTTTGGAGGGGTGCCCGTGTCGCTGTGGCAGGTAGGAGTTATTTGAGAGGTGTTTTTCGAGTGTGTTACATGACAAGTGTGTAGCAAGGTGACACTGGGCGCCCAGCCTCTCTCCCCGGAGCATTCTCTGGAGCTGCTGAGGGAGGTGGCGCGCTACAACCGGCTCTTTGGAGGGGTGCCTGTGTCGCTGTGGCAGGTATGATCCTGTGACTAGTGTGCTATGAGTGTGTTATTGACTAGGAACCTGTGTAGCAAGACAGGTTCCTCCCTCTCTCCCCGGAGCACTCCCTGGAGCTGCTGAGGGAGGTGGCGCGCTACAACAGGCTCTTAGGAGGGGTGCCTGTGTCGCTGTGGCATGTAGGATATTCCCGGTGGTGTTACACCCGCTGTTACAGGTGTGTAGCATGGTGGTGAGTCTCTATCTCACAGCTCCCTGCCTCGTTTCTCGTAACCTCTCCGACCCGCTAAGAGCTCTCCTCATGCCTGTTATTAACTCACTCTCCCCACCTCTCCCCACCCCTCCTCACCACTCTGCAGCGCATCCTGGACATGCCTCTGCTCCTCTCTCGACTCGGTCGGGACCTGACTGACCCGCTGAGGGCCCTCCGCTTGCTGCACAACGCTCGGATGGTGTTCTGTGTGAGTAGAACGGGGCTAGGGTGTGTGTCTGTGGTTGCGAGTCAATCTGTGCAACCACACCCGCTAAGAGCTCTCCGCTTGCTACACAACGCGCGAAATGGTGTTCTGGGTGAGTAAATTCCTCATCTGGCCTTTCTTTCGTTCAAATTTATCACAGCTTTGCACCGTTCTCAACTGATTTCGCCTCATAGCATACATCATGATCTTCTAATGAAGAGTGTTTTGAGTCGACTCAAAACACGGCTCTTTTCACCGTTTCCAACTGATTTTGCTCACATCACGATTGAGTGTCATACATCACGATTTTTTTATGCAGGTGGTTGTTGTGTTTGTTTATGTCGCTTCATTTCTTTTATTGCATCTCATGACATCTCACCCCCCATGGTGATTGCAATGTGTGCTCATCCCTTCCGTCAATGCCACCATTTTCCGTGTTCATAACTGTTTTCCCCTATATCCCCGTTTTAATCACATCTGCAGGTGGCTATTGTTTTCGTGTATGTTCTGTCACCTTTCGACCTCATTCCAGAATGTAAGTGATGCCGTGCATTCATTGCATGTCCCCGTTTTATGAATATAAATCAAAGGAAGGGGGGGGAAAGCAAGGGATAGAAATCCGTTCCGTCAATTTCCTGCCCCCCCTGCTCCTCATTTCAGTCAGACGATCTGCTCCTCCTCCTCCTCTGCCTCGCCTTCCACCTCTCCCTCATCTACCGCCACGCTGTGCTCTTTCTCACCCATATGCCTGTGCTTTGACTCCCCTTGTTCTCTCGTCCTTCCAGTCCCCATGGGAATCGTGGGTCTCTTGGACGACTTGCTCCTCCTCCTCTGCCTTATCGACCGCCACCCTTCTCACCTGTGTGTCTGCCCTTTCCCATGCCTTCTCTCCTCCTTGTTCTCCCTCTGCTCCCTCCTTCCCTCCAGTCGCCATGGGAATCGTCGGTCTCTTAGACGACCTCCTCCTCCTCTGCCTTGCCTTCCACCTCTCCCTCATCTACCGCCACGCTGTGCTCTTTCTCACCCATATGCCTGTGCTTTGTCTCCCCTTATTATTTCTCCCTTCCTTCCAGTTGCCATGGGTATCGTTGGTCTTCTAGACGACCTCCTCCTCCTCCTCTGCCTTGCCTTCTACCTCTCCCTCATCTACCGCCACGCTGTCCTCGCAGCAGCCTCTGTCCTCCCCGCCGGCCCCGCCCGCTCCATCCCCTTTACAAGCCTCTTCGGTACACAAGATAATACAGGGGCAGTGCGTGGAGGGGAGGGGGGAGCGGCGGGTGGGGGAGGGGCCAGGTGGAGGGGTGGGGGAGGGGAGAGTGTATTCGGAGATGCGAGAGTCTATGGGGACGATACCAGGGGGTTGAGATGGGGAATGAACCTCTGACGAGCATGAATGGGGCAGCGCGTGGGGGAGAGCGGGGATCGGAGGGCTGGGAAGTGGGCAGGCTGAAGGGTGGGGGAGGGGAGAGGGTCTGTGGGGACGATAGCAGGGGTTGAGATGGGGAATGAACTTCTGAGGATGGTTTGTCGTTTCTCTCCTCCTCTGTCTCGCCTTCCACCTCTCCCTCGTCTAACGCCACGCTGTGCGGCATTTGGTAGCCCTGTAACAAGGCGTATTGAGAAAGCTTGCTTTCTTATTTTTATCAATTGGCATCGTTCTCATTACAACTGGGTTATTACAACATTTGCATCGAGATTGAACACAAGCTAGTGCATGCTAATATCACTAGCTAAGATGTACCCTATCCAAGTGGCATTAGCAAGGCGTTCTACGCTGGGGTGGGTGGTGGGGATGTCGAGTGAGCCGTTTGAAATAGAGAAACGTGGGTGGAGGGAAATGAGCTCCAACCCACGGTTTTTGTAGTTGGAGAAGGGTGTTTAGCGCGCTTCGACGATGCCAATTGTGCAGTATAAGCAGCTTCGCTTTCACAATACACAATTTTAAAAAACACAATGTGTGTTTAAAAAATATAAAATTTTAGAGCTCTCAAAAACACCCTGCAGCGTTTGGTAACCCTGTAACAAGGCGCCATGTTCTTCACCAACCCCGCTCGCTTCATCCCCGTTACAAGGCTCCTCTGCCTCGCCTTCCACCTCTCCCTCGTCTAACGCCGCGCTGCGCTCTGAGGTTCGTGGTAGCCTTACTTAGTAGTACCTTCACTTTCCTATGCATTGCCTCTTTCGGTAGACGACCTGCTCCTCCTCTGCCTTGCCTTTCACCACGTCTTCCTTGTCTATCGCCTCGCTGTGCTGTGCTGTGCTGTTGGTTACCTCACTTCCCAATGCATTGCACACTCCCTAAAGGAATTATTAGCTTAAAAGGCCATGCCGAATGCAAAGGTTGAGAGTTCAGGAGGCACTCGCATGGCGCTACTGATTTCTCTGCTTGTCCAAGGCTGGCCATTGTTCCGTAGTAGTTTGTACAATGCAAAGAAGCTAGATTGTATACATGGTATGCGTAAATCCCGTTGGAGAGATTTATCATACTACCCAGATGGCGGGCCCCTAATTGCTGTTGTCCAAACCTTCTCCCTTAAGCACCCTTTAATTGGCCAATAAAAAGCTGAATTGTTGAAGGGCTCCCTGATGATGCAGTGACTAATTTGCTGTTGGCAGTCCTTGATACGGTAATGAGGATAAAACCATGTCCAAGAGGATTCAAGTTCTGACCAAAAGCTCAACTCACAAGGAGTTGGAAAATACAAGAAAATATAATAAATGAGTTACATCAAAGATCCTATAACCTGGTATTCTCCTTACCTCCTAACCCTGGACAGTGCCCCTTTCCTTGGGGTTTGGCACCACAGGGAAAATGGCTCATTAGGAGCCTTCTGACTTGATATAATCACTATATTACTACAGCATTTATAGCCCAAACTGATACTGCATGTACCAGTCTTGAAGGGATGATCTTTTCCGTCACAACGAGGAAGATGGATCCACGCCGTCCAATGATGATTTAAACAGTTAGACGTCAAGATGCGCCCAGCTGCCCAATCGGTGCAATGAGCGGCGTGAAGTCGCACAACTGCAGCTGAAGCGCGCTGAGTTGGACTTGAATCTGCCACGTAGGCTTGACGAAGACGGGCTTTCGCCAACCGCGTGGTTACTGAACTCTGAACCAAGGCTGTCGCCAATTGTAAACCCCAGGTCTCCGCGCGGGCCCAGGTGTGCGGAAAGCGCCCTCGATGAAAGCCGCAACTCAGCGGAAACTGGTCCCGCGGGGGCTCTGCCGTTAGTGGGGCTGACGGGGACGAGGAAGGTGGCGGAGTGATGGCGACAGGAAACCGGGGTTGTGTTTGCGCGGGAAATAGGCGGGTGATACGCATCGTGAGTGGTCGGCGCGCGGGAGAGAGGAGCGTGCGTGTCGTAGAAGCTTAGGTCGCGAGACGCTTGTGCGTGGATGGGGCAGTGATCGTGGCTGTGAGACACCGCAATATTGCGTGGCGAGCGGCTGTGCGACGGGCGAATGGAGGGCGAATGACCTTGGCTGTGGACACGCGCGACGTGTGCGACTGGCGACGGCGACAGATCTAAAGCGCGTGACGAGAACGACCGCGGAGGAAAGCGGCCCGAGCCAAAAATCGGCGGCGACTCCAACGAGCGATCCTTCAAAGAAAATGACGTCAGCTCCAACGATCGTCTCCGGGAAACGCGGCGCTGGGGCGGCGGCGGCTCGTCTGCCTCGTCGTCCTCTTCATTACCGTCATCTTCTTCCGCCACGTTACGAACAGCTTCAATATCAAGGGATGTGTTCATCATCATATGAGTCAGCTCTAACGACTCCTTCGATCGTCGCCGTGAAACGCGGCGCAGGAAAAACGGCGGCGGATCGTCTGCCTCGTCGTCTTCTTCATTCCCGTCATCTTCTTTTTCTTCTTTCGTAAAAGCGCTGCTGCTAGTGCTTGTAGCGGAATGCGTCCTTGTGACACCCGTCGACGGAGAGAGCTCCCCGCTGCCGCGGATAGCGGCGACACCCCGGCCGCCGCAACCGCCGACGCAGTCCGCGCCGCTACAAGCGACAGCAGATGCGCCGCCCTCGCTGCCGGCGCCGCCGGCAATGGACGACTCAATCATGTGGATGAAGTTCTCGCAGCGCGCGGCGCTGAGCTGGCGCTGTGTCGCGAGCAGCTCGAGCTTTCCCTCAAGCGCGCGGATCTCCATGTTCTCAGCGCTCTGCCGCATCGCCTGCAGCGTCGGCGATAATGTCTGCGACGTCGCCTGTTGCGGCGGCGACAGCATCGGCGACTGCGCAGCTACAGCCGCCTGGTCGGAGTCGCAGCCGTCGCCAGATGAAAACTCGCCGCTCAGCTCCTCGCTGCTACTAAGGCTCCGCCTGAAACGCCGCGGCGCCACGAACGTATGGTGGCGGCTGGCAAATGACGGCGAGGCGAGCACGGCTGGCGAATCGGGAAAGACGCAGCACGAATCGCAGAGTGACTTAGGGCTAGGATCGAAGGGCTCGTAGAGCGCGGCGCCACTTCGAGGTGCAGGCGGTCTCATAGCGGGTGACGCGGCAGCCGCCATTCGGTAGTAGCACATGCGGGACGTATGCGGATGGTTTTGGGTGCTTACTAGAACAAGGGTAGGCTACGAAAGTAGAAGTGAGAACGCGAACGAGGCTTTTACGGACTTCTCAGAAGCTATATTCTGAGCGATAGCGTGGAATGTAAGCTGCTTTACGGAATGAAGCACTGCGGCCAAAGCCACAGCGAAAATGAGACTATATTCTATGAACAGAAGTTCTAGATCCCGCCTTGACCTGAGCGCGAGATGTCAGATGAGCCACTGGGTCTGCACGAAGCGTGCGACTTCGGAGAGGAACGGAAATGGAAGGCGCGAAAGGAAAGTGAAGACGTTGTAAAGGTATGACACTTTTCCAAATGACAGGGATTCCACTCGCGTCTATGTGTCTATACGTGTGATCCGAAACAGAGGAATGCCTCACGAGCGA